AAAAAAAGTCCACATTTTTACTTGCAGCTGGCTTAAATCTATATCTGATGTGAAAAGAAGGCAGAGGCTATGTTCACCTTGGCAGACCTGGGAATAGTCTATTTCCAAGCTACACAAAGGAGAAAATGGCCATAAAACCAGGCAACACATCAGGTTGTTAGTACTATCATTTCTACATCTAAAATCTGATGTGTTTGCCTATTGATCTGCATAATATTTTCAAGAGTGCCTAATGTTGCGGCAATCTTGCTAAGAATACTTAAAATAAGGCATATCATCAAAGTTTCACTGACAAATCTAAATCATATAAAAATAGAACTTGCATCAAGTATGTGTTTAAAATAATACATGTATTTATGAATTATTAGTCATAAAAATTATAAACAATCCAAGGAGAACAAAATTTAGTTTTAATTACTAAATTTAATTATAGGTAGTTCTTACTTAACAACCACAACTGTGACCAGAAACTCCATTACTAAGCAACATGGTCATTAAGTGAGACATCATATGACTGCATCAGACTTATGACATCACTTCCTCTGCAGTTGTTAAGATATAATATAACCACGACTTGCAACTTTATTGCTGGCTTCTCCTGTAACTCTGCTTGTTGGAAGCCAGCTGTGAAGCATGCAAATGGCAATCACATGACTATGGGCTGCTGCCATGGTCATAAATTCCTGCCAGTTGCAAAACACCTGAATTTCGATCACATGATCACAGATATCCTGTGATGGTCATAAGAGTGAGGACTGATTGTAAAATTACTTTTTCAGCATCATTATAACTTCAAACAATCTAAAAAGGAAGTTGTTATGTGAAGACTACTTGTAGCCATTTAGGATTTATGTATCTTAATATACAAATGTAGAAATAGATTTCTTTTGCTGCACTAAACAATTATTTTTCTCCTGTAGAGTATAGAAAAAGTAGCCAGTTTGATACTTGGGAAATCAGTCTTTGTTAACTGGCCACATCTTGAGGAAGCCAGAGCTGTTGCTATATCTGATGGTGAAACTAAGTAAGAGACAAATTTGGAACAGTTATTTACTTGCTTCTGTATATGAATCTTTAAAGGCTAAACTTCGGAAGATAGATGGTGGAACAAGAGTTTATAAGATTTTTTTTTTAAAAAAAAACATATTAAAACAAAATTGTAAGAAGCTCCAAGAGTATGTTTCTACTTTCAACTTGTGTTACTAGCAAATTAATCTCTAGTCAATTTCACCTAATACCTTAAGGACATTGACAACTAATATATCTGTTAAAGTACTGGCCTAGAAACCAGGAGACTGTGAGTTCTAATTCCACCTTACGCATGAAAGTCAGCTGAGTGACTTTGAGCCAGTCACTTCCTCTCAGCCCAACCCTCCTCTCATTGGAGAAAGGAGCATTATGAATGTTCACTGCTTTGAGTTACTTATAAAGTAATAAAAGGTGGGATAAAAATGTGATTAATAAATAAAATATGTAATAGGGTTGGTTAAACTGTTAGGTTCTTGTTCCTTGCTGAACGTGAGTTGCTTTCCTGTAGACATTTCATTACCACACACTAGGTATCATCATCAGTGTATGGAAAGTGATGTTTGCTGATTGTTTATATATGGTAGCTTGTTCTTGCCTTGGTTGGGATATGGTTTCTTACTTAAGAGTTCTTTGATTAGGATATTGTTTCTTTCCTGATTGTTTATCTAGGGCTGTTTACTGCTTATGTAGGTGCTGGTTATAATGGGGAATGTGCTCTAAGCTGTTTGTTTCCATTCTGATTTCTGATTATTTGATTTTTTTTCAGAATGCCACGATTTCAGGAATTTCCTAGCTTTCTTAGTTTTGGCTTGACCTAAAATGTCAACAGTTTCCCGCTTAAAATTGTCTTTGAATTTATCTAAGTGTTGACAGATTAAGGCACCTTCACCATTTTTTCTATCTTCCAGTTGATGTTAATGGTGCATTCTGCCAGGCTTCTACCTATTTGTGTTATTATATAATTGTTGTTTCAGTCTTTACAGCATACATTGTAGATGAGTCCTTTTTCGTTTTTGTTTACTGGGCCTTTGCTTAAGATATTTTGGAGATATTTTGTTGGTTTATGTGTTGGAGGAATATCAAGTACTTATGGTGGTCTGTTGGGTGTCTCAGAAATTTTTGTTGTATGGCAGTTATCCTTTTGATAGGTTGTGATACGATAATTATTACCTAGATATTTTTTAATGAAATGATATGTGTACTTATTGGAAGATGTTGTATGTATAGTTTTTTTCCTCTTGCTGAAATTCTGGCTTACTGAAGTGTGTCTTTTGCAGTATGTAAGTTCTTATGCAACTCCTTTTGTGGACAGTTGTAACGTTACAAAACAACCAGGAGCAATCGCACAAATTAGCTATCAACAGATGCATAAATTTCATCTGCATGCAATTCAAAAGACATAACCAAATGCCAATAATGTATGCAATGCCCAGATAGGAAGAAAACAGTACCAGATAAACAATTAGGGAAGAAACAATACCCTAATTAAGGAATTATCAAGGAAGAAATCACACTTCAGTCAAGACTGGAAAGGCAAGCTTTTGTATATAAATATTCAACAGCTTTACTCTCCCATGTGCTGATGATATTACTAATGAAAGTTCTCCAGGAAAGCATATTCAAAGAACATAAGAATCCCATCAATATTGACTGAACTCAAGATACTTAAAACTTGTGTAATGATGTTAAAACTGAGATGAAATTTTAAAATGTATTATTTTAAACTAACTGCATGCTTTTATTTAAGGTTTTACTTGGAGGAGCGTCCTGGAGCCCAGAAACTTTATAGGGGAAATGCTATGCCACCAACTAAAGTAACACTTGTTGGAGAAAAGGAAAATAATATATGGATAAAAGAAATCCAGGGAATTTCAGAACAGTAAGATTATACCTGATTTATAGTTTTTACACTTTAAAGCAAAATTAAGAATGAGCAGGTTGCTTTGTGGAAATGACTTATTTAGAAATGCATGGTCAGATATAGATCAGATCAAAACTTAAGAAGTTTGGGTGAGAAGTAAAATGTTTTCAAAGAAAAAACGAAGTCCAGTTTTGAAAAGCACCTTTGGAACAACCATGACCTGGATGATTGAAAATCACATAGACATGGTCAGATATAGTTTTGGCATTTAGTAGCTTTGGTGAATGTGGAATATAGTAAATCCCACTAAAGGCATGATCACAGTAAACATTTTAGAGGTCATTCTCTGATACAGTATACAAATGAGCATGGAGTATCACCTGGAGTATCTTTGGAATTCCTAAGTGTTAAGTGGTAAACCCAAAACTGACTTCTTTAAAATGGCTAATAGCATTTTAATTATAGTTTACTCAATTATAGTTTATTAAAAAAATAAAAATACACATATAGGCAACATTTAAATAGGGCTATAGCTATTTAAGTGTGTAGAAGGATCTAAGGGTAGATAAAAGAATTATATGTACTATATAAGTACTTTAGGCAGGAGAAGGAGAAAGTTTTAGAAGTACAAGGTCTTAGATTAGTATAACCCTATTGGCCATAGATGTCATTGTGCCCTGATTCTGCTCTAAGTCCACTAGACTTTGTTTAAATTGGGAGGATGACGTATTATAAAGCAGACAACCTTATCTCCAGCATTATCTTGTTTCCAAAAATTCTTCTAGTGTAAGCTCATAGGCATTCCTGGAATATAACAATGATGTATGTTTGTATTCCTGATTCAAACAAAGCAAGAAAAAAAGGTAGTGGTGGTAAAGAAGATAAAATGGTTGGGAGGAAGATACCTCACTTGTTTGCCTTGTGATAAAATATTGTTCCTTCCATGGAAATGATTTTGTAAAAAAGCAACCTTCTTATTTTGACTATTTTGGGACACCATGCTTTCAGAATTTTAACTTTGTTTAGCAGCCCTTAAAACATGCCTAAACATATTATTGTGTAATCCAGATAGCATTACAGATCTGAATATGATACAAAGCCAAAGGTAAGCTTTATTGGCACTAGCATAGAAAAGTTACAGGGGGGAAGATTTATATGGACATTAAATATGTGCCACTGTTTTCATTGTGCTGAATGTCTGAATTCATCCTACCTCCTGCAATTTTCTGTCCCTCCCTTCTTCAGCTCTATTATTTTGAATTCCAAACTCAAGGAATACTATAAGGCAGGGCTTTTCAACCAGTGGTACGTGTACAAGTACATTGGCACCTGGCAGGTGGTATGCAACCCTGCCCAGCCTAGCCATGTGTAGCGGGGGGAGGGAATGAGCTAAAGTGGCGCAGCACAGGACTTGCCCTGAGAGAGTCCTCAGGAGCTGCTGGGCTGCTGGGGCGGGACAAAGGCCCCAGGATTGGCACTTCTGGCTCACCCGGAAGAGGAAGGAGGAGGAGGGGGGCAGAGACAGGAGAGGCTATAAAAGGAAGCAGTTTTGGCTGGAGAGGGAGAGAGGGAAAAAAAGATGCAGGCTTTGGAGGAGGCGGAGTTAGCTGGAGCAGCACCAAAGGGAAAAGAAGAAGGAGGAGGAGAAAGAGGAGAGGAGATAAAACAAGCCGGCCAGGAGATGATCTGTAACTTTGTGGCAGCCATCCGTGCCAGGCACACAGGTGGCAGCGAAAAACAGGCAAGAAATGCAGCGGGGGAGGGGTCACCCTCTGCAAGGAATGAAGAAAGGCACCATCCCTTGAAGGAGATCCGGCAAATGGCCCTCGCCCACTTCACACACCCAGCTCTGTGGGCTCCAGGGGGAGGGGACGCTGTGAGCAGAGTGAGTCCATGTTACTTGCGCTACACCGCCCAGCCCCCCCAGCCTGCCCGGCTTTGACAGGCAGAGGCACGCTCTCTTCACCGG